CAGGGATTTTACTAAAAACCAATGCAAGGGGAATGTAATAAATTAAACTGGTTCAATTACACTGCACAGATCCAAAAATTCCAAATGTCTGCCTTTAAAAGGAATTAGTTATTGATACAAGTATGGCAGCGTATATGTCCTTCTCAAAAGTATTAATAGGTTGAGCAGTGGTTATGGAAAAACAAAGCTCTGGTCACCTCTGATGACTACGTCGAATTTGATTTAAAGACATCCTCCCAAGTTTTACTGTGAAGGCAGCAAGCCTCTCAGGCCGTCTTTGAACCATGTTTTAATATTTAAAAACTTGCAACACAACTGATGCAATTTGTACGTTATTTTACAAAAATAAAGCAGTACTGCAGAACAGCACAGCATTTTAAATAGTCAATCCTTCAATTAAACACTACCCCCTACAGGCCCACATATGAACAACACCAAATATATTAAAATTAGTTTTTGTTGTACAATAGCCCACGGCAGTAATCAGAACCAAACTGCTGGGGCAAGTGGAGAAGCTCAGCTTGGCTAATATTGCACTATCCTAGTCGTTAAGTTGGGTGACTTTCACAGAGAACTGGTCAACAAGCAACTCTCCCACATAGGGTTACATCAGTGCAAAGGACACTTAGTGATTCATTCAAATTTTGTGCTGCACAATAGGAATAAAGACTCAATAGCACATTATTGTCCACTTACGGCAGACTGAGTAGACATGTCTCTCATCTGAAGACAAAGATACTTTCTGCATTCATGAGTAGTTGATTTCCATAGCACAATTCTGATTTTGGGAAGAGGGCACTTTTTATTCCTCTTCAAGGATGCAAGGTCTGGCTGTAATCTAGTTCATTTTTTTGAAAAAAGCATTTCTGCATTACAGATGTCTGGTCAGATGTACAAAGGCCTTAAAGACACATCTTAATCGTTCTTAACAATTCATTAATTTGTTTTTCCATCTAACTGCTTGAATGGTACATTACAGCTTGTAAAAAACAGTTAAGAAGTAGGAGATCAAAGATGACTGTTTCCATAAGGTGCGGGTGGTGGAGGGAGGAGGCAATGGATGCGCTAATTTCACAATAACCTGTCATGACATATAACATATTACAGAAATAGAACACTCTGCACATTATATTGGCAATAAGTTCCTTAAGAGGAGGGCATTTTGTCCAGCAAACAAGCTACCTTTTCAGTTCCAGAAACTTTGACTCCCACTATTTTACAGCTCTCTACAATAGATTAGCTACCAAAACATACCGCCATCTAAATGGTGGGGGTATGCACATATAGAGCAAATGGAAGTGGTATCCGGCAAAAAATAAGTTTACCTGTGTTGATATCACTCAAGAAAGAATCAGCTGGCATTTCTCTGCTCATATAATAAGCATCTGAGAGCCAAACACACAAAAACTCATAACACCTGAACACCTAACTCTATGGTCCCAATGGATTACAAAATCCTGATAACTCTGTTGAGTAATCATCCATTTCAGAAACAGAACGTGAGACTACACTGCCAGGCACTTAGATTCCTTTTAATGGCAACCCCTAAGCCTCCATAAACACAGGTAGTTATGTTTTAAAAAGACTTCAAACTCCAAGTAGAAGCAAAAAAGGTAAGGGAAATGATCCTAAGATCCCAAGAGTTAGTCTTTTATATGTAAACATAATTGACTGTTCCCTGAGATAGAACTATCCTTAGTTCTCAGTTATGGACTTGTACTCTTCGTCGTCTCCTGAGAAAAGCTTTGAGATTCCACCTGCCTGGCGGCAGCATGTGTGGTCCATTGTAAACACACAGCACTGTCATGTTGTCAGAATAAGTCAGATTCTGCAAAAGCTGTGGGGAAAAAAAAAAATCAGCAATGATCAAATATGGTCAGTCTTGCACTGAGTCATTGAATAGAATCATAGAACAGTAGCAGCACAGGAGGAGGCCATTTGAATCACTGTGTTCATATTAGCACTCTGCAAGAGCGACTCACCCAGTCTCACCACTCCTACCTTTATCCCATAGCCCTGCAAGTTTACATTTTTCAGGTAATGATCAACTTCCCTTTTAAAGGGCACGAGTGAATCTGCCTCCACCAAACTTTCAGGCAGTGCTTTCTTGATCCAAAATATGCGTTGCATAAGAACGTTTCCTTGTGTTGACATTTTATCAATCACATTAAATCTGTGCCCTTTAGATCATGAGCCTTCCACCAATTCCACAAAGACTTTTAAAGGGAAAGGAGTTTAAGGTTCATTAACGAATAAAATTTAATTTAAATGAGGGAAGCCCTATAACAGAAGCTGAAGAGCAAAGCAGTGTCCATAAAGCCAAGTACTTGTATAAAATGGGCATAGCAAGGGATGAGGAGGAAAAAGGGCTCCATTCCTTCATTTTGCAAGGTAGACTGTTGCTCATGTTTTCACAAAATCATAAGTAGTAACATTTAGCTACTTGTTACCCAATTATTCAGCATAAGCCATTTTGAGTTTACAATGCTGTTTGTCTGTATAGGCACATACTTCTGGTGCTAGCTAAACATCATTTTGATGAGGGCATTCGCAAGCTTAAGCATGTACCTTGGGTGTGATAAAGAAATACTGAGAGGTGTTCTCCTTGCAAGCTGTGCGTACCACCATTTCAAAAACCCTCCTTTCATTGGTTGGGTCCATACCCTGCAATGATAAAAAGTAATGAGTCACACATCTCTGCCATACATTTTTCATAGAAACTCCAACATTCTTTATTACGTCAAAATTTTTAATTTATACAATCAGTTAGGTGAAATTAAGTGATGAAATTTGGCAAAAGACAATTCTTATGGTTTGCTTTTGTTTCTTTTGTATTGCCACTTGAACTATGCAGCATTATCGGTAAATATATTCCCTGAATGCTTTGATGATAAAAATACCTGATTGATTTCATCTACAACTCGAAAGGGGCATCTATTTAATTCCTGTAGAGCCATTAAATACAGCATTGTAGAAACACTTCGCTCTCCGCCACTCTGGTGATGTGGGGTGAGCTCATGGAGCTGAGTACTGCTGCGAAACTTCACTCGGATTCGGATACCATACTTATCATATTCTTCCTGTAGGAAACAAGAATGCACAGGACTGAGATGATCAAATAGGTAATCTATTTTTGATTCATCTGCTGTATATTTATATTTTGCATAATTGCACTGATTACCTCAAAATTAATCTTTTCTGACACCAAAACCTGCATTACTTGACCCACGGTTTAACAACAACTCGTACCTATATTGTAGGAAAATGTCTCAAGATTCCTCACAGGAGCACTCCGAAACTGTATTGCCTCAACAGATATTAGATAACTGAAAAGAAGTAGCTCATACACAATATTCAAAATTGACTATGTCTTCTTGCTGCTGTACCAAACGAATTGATTTGAATTAGGTTTATTGTCACATGTACTCCTGAGCACAGTGTTAAACATTACAGTCCTTCTTACAAAAAATGGAAAAAACAAAGAAACAATTAACAGTTCAACACAACAAGTGTCTCGCCATGTTAGGCTCGCAGTCCTCACAAGGGTTCAATCTTGTTCCCGCCCCGGGCTGCCTGCTCCCGTTCTCGCTGCCAGCCACCCTGGGCTGTCTGCTCTCGTGATGCCAAGTGCCTGAGTTCTGGGCAGGCACAACTGCCAAAGCCCTAGCCGCTACTATCACCACTGCTGCCTTCAAGACCGAGCTCCCTCCAGAAGGTAAATAGAGAAAAGAAAAACTGAAAAACTAAAAAATGAAAGAAACGTGAGAAAAGAACAAAAGAAAAGTGGTTGGAGTGGAAGAGCTCCGGCTCAGGAGTCCTCCTCCTCCTCTACCATCTTGAACCACAATGAAGGCCACACTTTAATTCTCATCGATAAATTAGAAGGAATATGGCCATTTGCCTCCAATAACTGGAGAAACAAGTTTGCAGAACCCACAAGAGTGACAGATAGTTTAAATGAAAATAAAGGAACACTCTGACAAATAAACTGTTCTTCACTCAGGTACGATACAGCATGAATAGCAGGGCAAGGATTTGGCACAGTACAAGAAAAATACATGGTCACCGTCACTGTCAGTAGCTACAATGAAAGGAAAGGAGTGTAGAACTAATTGCAGAATAAATAGCCAGTATTTCCATTATGGTGATGGTCAATATTAACAAGATACACAGACACCATTTAAACAAAAAGCAAGAGGTGATTCGGAGATTATTTCAATTCATTCAAGGGGATGGCTTAATTTTACATGACGGACGTATACTGATTTACAAGGAATAGGTCACATTTTTGCTTATAAATGTCTTGTGGATTTGTAGTTATGCTTGTTCATTCCCAGGATACTTCAGAGTTTAGCCTATGTACAGTTTCACAGATGGTGTTGTTTAGCTTCTACGGAGTTTCAGGATGACTAATTCGTGCTTCTTCACTTATTTTTGTGGGCACATTGTGAAACAAGATATCCAAGTCAGTTCTGAAGGAGGAGAGTAGGGCAGGACAATAAATTGGCATTTGGTGTATTCTGGGGATCATGTTCACAACAGTTATGACGAAATCTGATTTCAAGACTTGTATTCTTTGAGACAGACCCTAACTGAAATGGGAAACTGACCCTGCTAGTTTTTAAAGGAAACGAACACTGAAACTGAGATTAGAAAACAAGACTTTAGGGCAGACTGAAGTTAGTTGAAACCATTAAAAAATGCACACAGCTATCAGCGCTCAGACATTGATTGCAGTGTTACAGTGCAGACAGGTTAAAAATGATGGAAGCTGGATCCAGAAACTGAGAATAGTCAAAAATATAGTCTCTCCTGCTGGATCTGTTACTCCAAAGTTAAAACTTATGATATATGCCATCCAGATTGTTGTAAACAGAATTGAGGTGGTTCTGCAGATATGCCAGTTTTGTTGACGAGCATATCCAAGTTGGTTATACACAATTGGCAGCTGGAGAACAGGGGAAGATCCTAGAAGGAAAATCTGAAATTCTTTTAGACAAAGATAGACTCCTGAAGGACTTTGTAACTGAGTTCGATAACATACTTGATGGGTGGACCACTGATTAAAATCAAAAGACCTTTCTGAGTGGTATCTGCTATTTAACATTTAAATCATAGTTTATAATTGACTGAAATTTGCCTGTTAATTCATGTTGATTCTAGCTTTAGGGTACAGGTAGTGACTTCAGTATTTTGTATTTACTTTGACTCCTACACAATAAAATGTCTTCTATTTAAAACTATGGAATTTTCTGGTTTCATTCTTTCAATAACTAACCAGGATTTCAGATTTTGTCTTTTTTCGAAAAAGAGGTTTACTGGTCACAACCGAGATCTTAATACAATTGTCATGTCATGATAGATCAGCAAGAACATCAGATTAGGGAGGTGATGGCATAGCAGTATTTGTCAATGGCCCATAATCCAATACCAAAGTAACATTCTCATAACCACAGCAGACGATGGAATCTGAACACAATAAAATCTGGAATCAAATATTTAATGATGACAATGAAACCAAATACTGTTGAAAATATAATCTGGTTCACTAAAGAAAAGCTGCTTTTCTTACCTGTTCTGGCTCACATGTGAATCCATACCCACAAATATAACCCTTACATGCCCTCTAAAATGAACCAGCAATCTATTCAAAAGCTAATATGTCTCAAAAGATGGACTACCAGGCATCGATCTAGGTATCAGAAACAAATGACAAACTCAGTGATGTCAACATTGCAAAGTGTCCTTACCAACATATGGGGGCTAGTGCCAAAATTGGAAGAGCCGTGTCACACTAAGCAACAGTTATTGTCATACTTTAGACAATAGACTGGAGTTTCCAAGGAGTGGCAATGTCACACTGATTGGCACCTTTTTTTTTTAAAACAAAAGAGGGTGGGCAGCATTTCCGAGTGGAAATTGCGATCAGGGCTCATTCAGAAATATGGAGTTCTACTTCCATTCTTGACAGTTCTTTGATAGCACAGAATTCCCTCCAAAGAAACCCTACACACACAGACGGACAAAAGAACAATGGCATTACAGATGGAGGGGTAAAAGCTAGGAAAACGGTGCAATTGCCCCAGCCCAACAGATTTGCTGAAATGATCCTTTTGCTTGCCAGGATTTTCTGTGCGCAAGAGAAATCCTTTCTCTGGGTTCTTTTCAGTTCTTAGGAGATATGACCAATTGGTGCACTAATAGCAAATTAATGGTAATACCCAGCTGCTGATAGTGGAGCATTCATCAATGGAAATGCCATTGAATATGAAGGAGCAATCATTGTTAGTTACTGGGGTCAAGAGCCCAGGTTACAGCAACTGGTGAAGGAAAACAAACTGATTTTCATTAAGCTTTATGTATTTTACTGGAGAGCTAGAATCAATGGGAATCAGGTGGAGATCTCTTCGCTGATTGGAGTCATACCCAGGATAACAAGGAAGGAGGCTGTCATTATGGTAGGTCAGTTAGTTCAGCTACAGGACATTTCTACAGGAGTTCCTCAGGATAGTGCCGTAGGTCCAATCATCTTCAGCTGCTTCATCAATGGCCTTCCCTCCATCGTAAGGTTAGAAATGGGTAAATTGGCTAATATTTACATGACGTTCAGCATCATTCACAACTCCTCTGATACTGAAGTAGCTCATGTAAACTGCAGCAAGACCTGGCTTGGTCTGAAAAGTGGCAAGTAACATTTGTGCCATTCAAGTGCCAAGCAATGACCACCTTCATAAGAGAATCAGAGATAATTTAACAATCACTCCTTCATATTCAATGGCATTACCACAGATGAATACTCCACTACCAACATCCTGGGAATTACCATTAAACAGAAACTGAAATGAAAAAGCCAGATCAATACTGTGGCTACAAGAACAGTGAATAACATCTCCTGACTCCCCAAAGCCTGCCTACTTTATACAAAGGCCCAGTCAGGGGTGTAATATATCACTTTACATTTTCCTGGATGACTGTAGTTTTGACAACACTCAAGAAGCTTGACCCCATGCAAGTCAAAGCAGACCACTTAATGGCAGAATTACAAATATTCACTAATTCCACCATGTACGCTCAATCGCAACAGTACACACCATCCACAAGATGCACTGCAGAAATTCACCAAAGGTCCCTGGACAGCACCTTTCAAACCCACAGCCGCTACCATCTGGAAGGACAAGGACAACAGATACATTGGAACACCGCCACCTACAGATCCTTTCCAAGTCACTCATCATCTTGACTTGGAAATATATGTTTCGTTCCTTCAGTGTCATGTATGTTTTCGTACCCTCAACATCACTGGGTCAGGATACTTTAACTCCATGCTGAACAGCATTGAGAGAATCACTACACCAAACAGACTGCAGTGATTCAAGATAAACCACTACCATGTTTTCAAGCTCAACTACTGATGAGCAATAAATGCTGGCCCAGCAAATGACGCCTACATCCCATGTATAAATCCAAAAATACCTGTGTACGTGAAAAAATTAAATCTTCCATAAAAATCTGTAGGGCATCAGAAGTGAAACAACCGATGAAGTTTATGCTTCTATCAATGAAAAATGGGGTTAACTGACTACTGCATGATGCATTTCAAGGACTTAGTCAAAAACAACAGGCTGATATACTGATATTTAGTTTGCCAGTTTTAAATCATCTTACAGCAGTGAGCAAATGACTGGGGCCACATATGATAGTCAATTCCTCAGGATATAAAAGGTTTGATACAAGTTTCAGGGCACCCAGATGGCCAGGGAGTTCTATAACATCAGATCAACATCTTGCAGGAAGGCAACAACTTAATGATGATTTAGTTGGGAGTTGAACTATTTGGCAAGCGGTATTAGGGACATTATTGGGAGCATGTCAACGTCAAAATAGATGGACATCATCCTACCTCATTATCTGTGTGCAAATCAATTTCTCCTGCGCACTGCATCGAGCGAAAATATTCACTAAACTTCTCATTAATTTGTTCTACAAGTTGTTTCAAAGGATTTAGCCACTTTTCTTTCACCTATGGGAAGTGAAAAAGTAAATTCAAAGAAATATATGACTATACCTTACATCAAGAACAAACATAAAAATGAAAACGTCTGAAGGAATTTTTACAGTTTTGCAAATAAATTGTTTCTTCAACTACCTGCGAGATGTTCAGTTTATAGTTTTCCAGTTCACACTTTTTTCT